CAGAGAGTGGCCCAGGCAGACAGTTCCCTCCTCCTTAGCCTCAGTTTTGCCCTTGCAGAACTTAGCAGGGAGCAGGATGGTGTGAAAAACCAGAATTAGTTGGCCCTGCCTGTGTCATTGGCACTGAGTCCACCTACTGTTGCCCTCCCTGCTTTCGACCCCACCAGTGCCACGGGGCACCAGGTGCTACTGCACAAGATGTAGACATCTGTGTTGGAAATGGGTGCATGGCAGGGTTGGCCAACCCTGTGGCCAAGGAGGACATCTGCAGGGCCACAGCTTCACCACCCCTGGTGTAAGGATTCAGGTATGAATAACCTTCAGCAGCGACACCCCACTTTTATTCAAAGCCACCCGCCTGGCCTTGGACTTCGCCTTTTAATTTTTTTAGCTCAGATGCCATCTTCAGTAAGTGACTCGTACAACACTGGCTTATAAAGAGGCTCTCGTTTAATAAAAGCTGCTCTTGATTTAAAGCCCTCGCGAGGAGCAACAACTTCTAAGCTAAAATCTATAGCAAGTGATATTGGAGCAATTTTGCTTTCCCAAGATGCTTTCCTGATGGGTTATTTCTAGCTAAGCAGAGGGGGAAAGTGCTCATTGGACATTTTAAGGCATTGCAGAGAGTGATTTCGAGCTATTGTCATAGTAAACTAAACTCAAGGACTGGAAGCTGAGAACGGAGGAATTTAAGAAATAGTACAAAATGCCCAATGTAGCTTAACGGGAAAAAGTTTTCCAAGGAAACAATCTGCTGGTAGCTCCTTAGTTAGGTTTCACTGGGGTGTTGCCCAAAGCGGGCCTTTCTTGCGGCTGCGAAATAATTTTTGATATGCCTTTACTGTACATTTTTAACCTTTTATTGTTCTTAAATAAAATGCTTTTGGTGTTGGCTTCTTTTGAGTCATGTTTTAAGCAGGATATAAATGTGTCAAATGAAACAAGAGATATTAAAATGTATTTGGTATCAGTGCCTTTAGAAGCTTCACCAACTGTGACCTTTCCTGGGAGAAACAGGTTTGGACTCAGTTACTTGCTAGTTAAATCCAGACTGGATGACTTTGCTGCTCTCTACATAAGGCTACCCCTGAAGATTGCGCAGAACTTCAGCTGGTGCAAAATGCAGCTGCTAAGATCCCAGTAGATCCCAATCTTATACTGGTTACAGTATTATGAAGAGTAACATGATGATGCTTGCATGTAAAACAACAACTTGCAAACGGGTTACCTGAAAAATCACCTGTCCTATAGACCTGGAAGGTAACTTAGACTGTCTGAGGAAATTTTGCTTGTGGTTCCACTCCCTATAGAATGTTTTATTGATTTTATGTTGCATTTTTGTTTTAACGATACTGTTTGTTTTTATGCTATAAGCCTCTTAATATATATATATATATATATATATATATATATATATATATATATGCAGGTTTTGGTGTCCTCGGGTGTCTTCCCGTGTAAAAGTTGGGGTGTCTAGGCAACGTTTCGACGAGGTCTCACTCGTCATCTTCAGGCTGGTGCTTTCGGCTTCTTGTTACTGGAACAGAGCAGGATCTCAGTGTTTGAGTTCCTATAAATACTGTTGAGGAGGTGTGGTATATAGCCTCCAATGTTAAGTTGGAAGCATGTGGGAATTAAGTTGTTGTCTCGGCAGTTGCGTAGGAACAAGAGATCACATAAGATGGTGGCTCTTCGGATTTCTAGTTTCTCGTAGGTTCTTGTCAGCTGGAAGGTTTCCTCCCCGTAGAGGTGAGATATTTGCTTTCGTAGATTTTCACGGGTACAGGAATGCAGGTTTTGGTGTCCTCGGGTGTCTTCCCGTGTAAAAGTTGGGGTGTCTAGGCGACGTTTCGACGAGGTCTCACTCGTCATCTTCAGGCTGGTGCTTTCGGCTTCTTGTTACTGGAACAGAGCAGGATCTCAGTGTTTGAGTTCCTATAAATACTGTTGAGGAGGTGTGGTATATAGCCTCCAATGTTAAGTTGGAAGTATATACCACACCTCCTCAACAGTATTTATAGGAACTCAAACACTGAGATCCTGCTCTGTTCCAGTAACAAGAAGCCGAAAGCACCAGCCTGAAGATGACGAGTGAGACCTCGTCGAAACGTCGCCTAGACACCCCAACTTTTACACGGGAAGACACCCGAGGACACCAAAACCTGCATTCCTGTACCCGTGAAAATCTACGAAAGCAAATATCTCACCTCTACGGGGAGGAAACCTTCCAGCTGACAAGAACCTACGAGAAACTAGAAATCCGAAGAGCCACCATCTTATGTGATCTCTTGTTCCTACGCAACTGCCGAGACAACAACTTAATTCCCACATGCTTCCAACTTAACATTGGAGGCTATATACCACACCTCCTCAACAGTATTTATAGGAACTCAAACACTGAGATCCTGCTCTGTTCCAGTAACAAGAAGCCGAAAGCACCAGCCTGAAGATGACGAGTGAGACCTCGTCGAAACGTCGCCTAGACACCCCAACTTTTACACGGGAAGACACCCGAGGACACCAAAACCTGCATTCCTGTACCCGTGAAAATCTACGAAAGCAAATATCTCACCTCTACGGGGAGGAAACCTTCCAGCTGACAAGAACCTACGAGAAACTAGAAATCCGAAGAGCCACCATCTTATGTGATCTCTTGTTCCTACGCAACTGCCGAGACAACAACTTAATTCCCACATGCTTCCAACTTAACATTGGAGGCTATATACCACACCTCCTCAACAGTATTTATAGGAACTCAAACACTGAGATCCTGCTCTGTTCCAGTAACAAGAAGCCGAAAGCACCAGCCTGAAGATGACGAGTGAGACCTCGTCGAAACGTCGCCTAGACACCCCAACTTTTACACGGGAAGACACCCGAGGACACCAAAACCTGCATTCCTGTACCCGTGAAAATCTACGAAAGCATATATATATATATATATATATATGAGTTTATTAATGTTTTAAAATAAATAAATCATGTAAAAGTTTCTAATATGTATATATATTAACTTGCGCGCGCGCGCACACACACACACACACACACACACAGCGCTACACTCAGCTTTCTCTTGCCTCTGTATCATGAAACACGATCATTCCCTCCCAAGTTTCTGAGTACTTCCACTTTGTCAATCAGTTCCTCCTTGTTGATGAGGACCAGGTCCAATATAGATGATCCCCTTGTTACTTCTCCCACCTTCTGGGAAATAAAATTGTCAACGAGGCCATGGAGGAATTTCTTGGACCTTATATTCTTGGCAGAGTTTTAAAAATTTATAAGCTGCCTTGTGAGGCCTTGCCGTAAAAGGCAGAGCAGAAATATATTGCAATAAATGCTGGGGAGGAGTGCCATTGCTGTCAAATGATCTCATTCCTTTTAGTTAAAGGTAAAGGTAAAGGACCCCTGACAGTTAAGTCCAGTCGCAGACGACTTTGCGGTTGCAGCGCTCATCTCGCTTTAGAGGCTGAGGGAGCTGGCGTTTGTCTGCAGACAGTTTTTCTGGGTCATGTGGCCAGCATGACTAAGCCACCTCTGGAAACCAGAGCAGCACACAGAAACACAATTTACCTTCCTGCCACAGCAGTACCTATTTATCTACTTGCACTTTGACGTGCTTTTGAACTGCTAGGTTGGCAGGAGCAGGGACTGAGCAACGGGAGCTCACCCCACTGCAGGGATTCGAACCACCGACCTTCTGATCAGCAAGCCCAATAGGCTCAGTGGTTTAGACCACAGCGCCACCCACGTCTTTTACTTACTTTGAGCTAAAATACCTATAGCTCCTCCTCATCCCCACCTCAAAGGGAGAAGGTCTGTGAGAGGTTCTCTATTTGGGATCTCTCCATGATTGAGAGTTTGACCTTGTGCAACTCAGAACCGATTCCGCCTGCCAAATCAATGGAAACTGATTGACAGCCCTGATTTGCCGGCTGTGCAATTTAATTAATTAATGGGAAAGGTGCTTTGAAAACAGAAGGATTTATTGCAAGTGTCCTCCCTGCAGCCTGAAGGAACAAATTGCAGCACCATCGAGGGGAGAAGAGCAAACCTCTTCCTAGGCAGGACAGCCCTGCTTGCTTTTGTAGAGGCCGTGCATGTGCGTGTGGGAATCTAAGAAGGCACCCAAGCTCAGAGATATTGCTCAAGTGCCACTGATGTGTCGGGCAACTTCCCTCTCATTCGGCAGCAGCAGGGTGGGAAGCAAGAGACCCTCATGGCCAATGCCAGGCAGAGCTAACTAAGTCTAGTTTGTCCCCACCCTCCTCCCTTCTGAGTTCGACAAGAGTAACACTCAGGGCCCACCTGCACTATATATTTAAAGCAGTACCACACCACAGCCATTGAAATCAAAGTGCAATTTATTATTATTATTATTATTATTATTATTATTATTATACCTCGGGTTAAGTACTTAATTCGTTCTTAACCTGAAACTCTTCTTAACCTGAAGCACCACTTTAGCCAATGGGGTCTCCCGCTGCTGCCAGGCCGCCAGAGCACGATTTCTGTTCTCATCCTGAAGCAAAGTTCTTAACCCGAGGTATTATTTCTGGGTTAGCGGAGTCTGTAACCTGAAGCGTATGTAACCTGAAGAGTATGTAACCCGAGGTACCACTGTATTATTATTATTATTATTTATACCCTGTCCATCTGGCTGAGTTTCCCCAGCCACTCTGGGCAGCTCCCAGCAGAATAATAATAATAATAATAATAATAATAATAATAATAATGTGATAAAACATCAAACATTAAAAACTTGCCAAAGAAGCCCGCTCCCTGCTGCATGGCCCATTTCCACCTGGCCTAGGCGGCGGGGCCAGACTCACCTTGAACAGCTAAAAGAGGCTCCTGGGAGGCCAGAGGGACATTGCTGGAACAACTCTTGGGTTGGGGCAGCTGGCTAAAATGTTTTAACATGTTTAAACCAGTTTTAATTTTGGTTCCTCTGTTTTGTTTTTGTTGGGCTAGGCTTGATTAAATGTTTACTTGGGACTGGGCTCGCTTCAGCAGCACAAATACTAAAATTGTAACAATACAGAGAAGATTAGCATGGCCCCTGCGCAAGATAAGAACATTGGCAGGATTACTGTAATAACTGGCAGTTTTATAAGAATATATATTTAAAGCAGATGAATAAATGAGTAAATTAAGTTAATTTGGAACATGCAGAAAATATAACAAATATTTTAAGGAACCGCAGAAAAAAAATTAAGGAACTGCAGAAAGAGGGGGAAGGAAGTTGAGTTTTGAAATGTTAAAACGATTGTAAAATTATTGAAATGTATAAAACTGAAAATAATAAAAATAAAAATAAATGTTTAGTTGGGTTTGGTGGTTATTTTAATTCGGGTACAACTGTATATTGATTATTATGGTTATGATATGATCTTCTGTTGATTTATTGGTTTAATTATAGTCTGCATAAGATAATCTGTTTTTTAAAAAAATGCTTTTTTAAAAATGTTTTTATATGTGCTGTAAGCCACCCAGAGTGGCTGGGGAATCCCAGCCAGATGGGTGGGATATAAATAATAAAAATTATTATTATTATTATTATTATTATTATTATTATTATTATTATTATTATTGAGTTCACAGCCCTTCCACATACAAAATCCATTTCTGCTCGCCTCTCCCCTCCCCATTTCAGTGGTGGGGAGTCATTTTGTTGTTGCAGTTGTTAAACAATAAGGGGTCGGGCACTGTTGTGGATCGACTGTTGTCGATCACCCAGGGAATCTGCCAGTAGATCTATCTTCTGCCCTCCCTTGGGCTACACCTATGAGAAATGGTTGCCGCGTGCCGTGAAACTCAGCCCATTGAACTGATCGCTAAATGAACACCCCCACACGCTCACACCCCCAAACTGAATGCGAAAAACATTTAGATTAAAAACTGCATCCTAACGACCCCCGCTCTCCCCCAAAGCTTCAGGGATAATTGGGACAAGAAGCCTGGAATGCCCCAGAGTCTCTTTCTAACAGTGCTAATTGCATAAATCTGTATTAATTGCTGTGTAAAATAGTGCTCTGGAAAATCTGCCAAATGCCTTTTAATTCTTTTGCAGTTGGAGCCAACTGTTGTGAACGGATGATGGAAAATAAAAAAAAAACAACCATGCTCCTCAAGGCAGCATCCTATAGGCTATGGCACATTTACAACAATGAGTCACAGAAAGGGCGATAAGATACACATTCAGCCCACCTCCTGTATTTCATACAAGATTGCTTGCCGTGTTGTATTTTCCTGCCTTGTATCATTTTACAGGCTTCCAAGGTCCCAGCAATGGCTTTCCTGGCTTCTCCTAGAACTCGTCTCAAAACATATATAAAAAAGGATTTGCCCGGCTGTGTAAGATCAGATGTAAGATCCACTCCAGTGATCTGTTTCCAGCGGTTGCCAGACAGATGCCTTTGGGAAGATCATGGGCGGGATAATGGTCCCCCTTGTCCAATGTCCCCAGCATCTAAAGAAGGAGCGAGGAACCTGGACCTCACCAGAAGTTGTTGGGCTCCAACTCCCACCAGTCTTGGTCACATTGCCAATGACTAGGGACAATGGGTGCTTTAGTGCATAATGAGCACCAGGACCAGGGAGACCTGGCTTCAAATGCTCATTTGATCACAAAGGTGAACTTGAGCCTGTCACTCTCTCTCTCTCTCTCTCTCTCAGCTTCATCGCAGGGCTGTTGTGAGAATAAAATGGAAGCAGGAAGATGGGGACCATGCATTTTGCCTTGAGGTCCTTAGGTGAAGGCCAGGATACAAATAGATGATATAAGTAAAATATAAAAAGAACTAATTAAACAAATAAATGATACAATAGACCTATCCTTTTCGAAAGAACTATCTGTGGTCTAAACCATTGAGCCTCTTGGCTTGCCGATCGGAAGGCTGGTGGTTCGATTCCCTGTGATGGAGTGAGCTCCCGTTGCTCTGTCCCTGCTCCTGCCATCCTAGCAGTTTGAAAGCATACTAGTGCAAGTAGATAAATAGGTACCAAAGCAGCAGGAAGGTAAATGGAGTTTCCATGCTCTCTGGCACTCGTCATGGTCCTCCGTGTGGCAGAAGCGGTTTAGTCATGCTGGCCACATGACCGGGAAGCTGTCTGTGGATGAACGCCGGCTCCCTCGGCCTGAAAGCGAGATGAGTGCCGCAACCCCATAGTCGCCTTGCACTGGACTCAACTGTCCGGGGGTCCTTTACCTTTTATTATAATATTAATGGTGCCATTATGCATTGTGTAAAGGAGGGCATTGCACTGTAAATTGCAAACATGTTGGGTGGAAATCAACGTAGAACAAAGTGGGGTACATACATGGGGGACAAGGTCTGCTTGCGCAATGGGATTCCCCCCTTCCTCCCGCACATTCCCTAAACCTGTTCTAGGGGTTCTAGATAGTCCTACTGAGAGAGCAGAGCATGCAACAATGCCATTGAATCCTGCCTAGTGGATTATAGCTGGTGCCAGTTCTACTCAAAGTAGACACACTGAAATTAATAGACAAAACTAACTGGGGACCAATAATTTCAATGGGCCTACTCTGAGTAGCTTAGATGGAGAATCTCATTGCTAATGAATCCCACTGGCTGACCCATCCCAGGTTGTAATATAAGGATTATATTACTAACATATTTTATTTGTAATATTCAGTTCAGCTTTCTATTTACTTTCAGCTTTGTAACTGCAACCCAATATAAACCATGTTTACCCCAAAGACATGTGTATCACCCTTAGCTTAACTTAATGAAGCAGAATTTTAAAGAGCCAAATTTAAAAGTTAGGGCTGAAGCTCTTTATTCTCAAAGTGCTGAGGGTGATATTACTTGGTGGGTTGCATATATATGTCACCTGCTTCCTTTGTTACCCAGTGATTAACAAATATACTAGACGAACACAGCCATTAGATTCTATGTTGTGCATTGCTTTGTTTACATAACACAGACCTTGCAAAAAGAGTGACATCTAAGGTTTAGAAACATGAACAGACATGAATCATTCTATAGCTCAAAATCAAGCTTTCTGGTGTAGAATCCAGAAAAGGTGCCTGCATGTTTCTAGTTCTCAATGAGATGTGGGAACAGAGTCTTGTAGGAAACACACAAATGAGTGAAATGAAGGGAAGTGGGCAATTCCAGCTTCAGTCCATCACTGGAGAAGAAACAGAAGGAATACTGATCCACAAGGGAGGAGGTGGGGCTGAATAACACATGAGAATGAAGAGGCCTGAACCAGTCAAAGAAGCCCAAGCCAGTAGGATACATCTGTCTATTATGCTCCAAATAAAGTCTATTATGCCCCAAATCTCCTTATGAGATTGTGGGTTGGCATATGCATGTATGTTGGTCATTGGTTGTCTAGCAAATCGGAATATATTTTCTCTCTTGGGCACTAGGTGGCAGCTATAGCCCTAAGTATGAGAGCATCTATTGCTTCCAAATAATGATCAGTTTCCCTCTATCCAATAATTTTGGCAAATAGGAGGGAAAATGCAAAGCATGGCTGAGCTTTCCCTCTAGACGGACTCTACCATTTATTGTAGAATATGAACATATTGCGTGAGTTCTAGACATAGAGAAAATTGGTGCCATTGTGCAAATTGCTTGACTCTTCTTCCTTCCCAACTTTTGCAGCAGCTGAATGTAGGCTGCTTGGGACTATGTTATCTTTGGCTGATCCAGAAGCAACAGGCAGGCGTGACACACAGAATCCTGCCCGGGGGCTTCCTATAGGCATTTGGTTGCCCCCCGTGAGAACAAGGGGGACTTTTGGTCTGATCCAGCAGCCAGGATCGTCTTAAAGTTATTGTGTTCAACAAGCCAAGATGCAATGGAGTGAGATGTTTTGCTTTGTGCCAAAATGCCACATGGATCAAGTGGGTGTTGTTTTAAACATTTTAAAATAAGGGGTAGGGATGGGGAGAAATTTGATCCAGTTCACATTTGAACCTGGATTTATCAAATATGTGCTTTCTGAATCAACAAGGAAACCCAAACAAAACCTTCCTTCAAAATCTGAATTTTGCAATGCAGTTGTCCTATCAACCAATGCATGCATTAGGGGGAAAGTTTGCATAAAAACGAAGACATCAGTGGGACTAACATACAAAAAGCATTACGTTAGGAGACACTGCTTTCAAAAATGTGCGCATCAGTCGAAACTACAAATGTCGAAAACTACAAAAATCAAAATGTAAGGATTTCAAAATCCAGATCCCCAGGTCTCAGTCTGTGAACTCACATCAGTCGTTCTTTCTGACATGCTCTCTGCCTTTAAGCTAAGCCTACACCAAGCCAAATGCTGCCAGTCATGTCTTGTGGTCTGTCACATGCTTGACAGATGCCTCTGTTTCCGAAGGCCAAAGAAGGTAGTAAGATCAATAGATTGATTGAATCCCTGATAGGCTACGTGACACAACTTACGGGTGGCATTTGATGTGGAGGATTATAAGTAGGTCAGGTTTGCTTTAGTCTGTGACAACTGTTCCACTGTCAGAGGAGCTAAGCTTCCGACTGCCCTTTACTGGGATTCACCGATGGGGAAAAGTGCTGTTGTGCTCAGCTTCTGCTCTCAGGCTCCCAAAGACACCTGGTTGGTCACTGTGAGAGCAGGATGCTGGCCATGGGACTGAGGTCCATCTATATCTATATTCAGGAAGAAACGTGCTAAGAGGAAGGCACGCTTGGCAAATCCACACCGTGATCAACTTCTGCCCGGAAACCAATGTCCCCGCTGTGGAAGGACATGTGGATCCAGAATTGGCCTCCAAAGTCACTTAGGGACTCATTGTTAAAACCGTGTTTATGGAAGAAAATCTTACTCAGCTACGAGTGATCACAGAAGAAGAAGAAGAAGAAGAAGAAGAAGAAGAAGAAGAAGAGGAGGAGGAGGAGGAGGAGGAGGAGGAGGAGGAGGAGGAAGAAGAAGATATTCAGTAGTAACTGGTGAGGCATGTGGGTTGGGCCCTCTTGCTCTCCTGGCTTTCCAACACAATGGGTCGCTACCAAGAGGGAGAGGGGAAGTGTGAGGCATGGGGTGCTTGGTGCAGTTTGGCGGAGCCAGTCAAACACTACCGCCATGACATGCTGAGCTTCCTGCGCCTCCCCTCAGTAAGTGACAGTGACCTGCTGTGCTAGGAAGCCAGGATGGCAGCAGTGCCTCACACGTTCTGCCTCACTGAATGCTACAGAATCTCTCTCTCTCTCTCTCTCTCTCTCTGTGTGTGTGTGTGTGTGTGGTGTGTGTGTAGTATACAGTGGTACCTCAGGTTAAGAACTTAATTCGTTCTGGAGGTCCGTTCTTAACCTGAAAAGGTTCTTAACCTGAGGTACCACTTTAGCTAATGGAGTCTCCCGCTGCCGCCGTGAGATTTCTGTTCTCATCCTGAAGCAAAGTTCTTAACCTGAGGTACTATTTCTGGGTTAGCGGAGTCTGTAACCTGAAGCGTCTGTAACCTGAGGTACCACTGTAAAGGTAAAGGGACCCCTGACCATTAGGCCCAGTCATGACCGACTCTGGGGTTGCGGCGCTCATCTCGCTTTATTGGCCGAGGGAGCCGGCGAACAGCTTATGGGTCATGTGACCAGCATGACTAAGCCGCTTCTGGTGAACCAGAGCAGTGCATGGAAACACCATTTACCTTCCCGCCAGAGCGGTACCTATTTATCTACTTGCACTTTGACGTGCTTTCGAGCTGCTAGGTTGGCAGGAGCAGGGACTGAACAACGGGAGCTCACTCCATCGCGGGGATTTGAAACATGGACCTTCTGATCGGCAAGCCCTAGGCTCTGTGGTTTAACCCACAGCGCCACCCGCGTCCCTTGGTACCACTGTATCTGTATCTATATCTGGTGGGGTTTTTTGTTCTGGGGAAACTCAAAAGTACCAGCACCCTTTCCCCTAGAATAAAAGCACTGGTTAACAGTAGGCCACTTACTATAACAACTTCATGCTGAGTGGTGGCACCTCCCCTCCCCCAGAAGAAAGGCACTGACTATATCTGCAAGCGCCCATAGACATGTAGCCCAGTCTTGTTAGAAATTAAGAGTGCAGAAATTGAGAGTGCTACTGTATTTACTTTTTAAAAAAGGTTTTAAAAAATGGGTATTTAGCAAAAGCCTGCCTCCTGTTGGCTGTTCCTTTCCCAAGGGTTTCTCCAAGTATTTTCTCATGGATGATTGGCTGGGAACACCCATGTGACCAGTCCAGGGAGAGATGCCCCTGGCACCTTCACAATAATGTTTTCATCGAATACTGAAGATGCACTTCTTTACCCTTTGACCCTTGAGTTGCATATGTTTAGAAGCCACCCTAATCTTGCGATTATAAATTGTTTTTTAACGTTGTATTTTAAATCATTGTGGACATGCCCTGGGACCTTAGGGTGACAGGCAGGTAATATTTATTTGTTTTTACCCTCACTCTGAGGGCAATTGTCTATGTTTACCCTCAGTCACGCTGCCCCATAGTCAAATCCGATTGGCTATGTAGTGCTGTGACATTCTATTCACTTGGTGATCCCTGATTGGTTAGGATAAGTTGCCCAAGAAAACACAGCTTTAACCAGAAACGGATGAACACAACCGCACTGAAGTTGGGAGAGAGAGGAGGAACAAACAGCAGCAAGCAGGTACACTTAAACGGGTTTCAAAAAGGTGTTTCCAGGAAATATTTTAGTCCCGCTGAAAACAAGATTTTTTGCAAACTGAAACAGGTAAACATTTGGCACATCCTAGGCCTGGGTACAAAGGTGTTTGATTCTGTGCAGCCAGATGCACCTAATGAGTCCCTTAGAGCCTGAGAAGTCTGTCATTCTTTGGTACAGTGTAGAGAAAGAAGGCCTTTCCTGCCCTGCTTGCCATTAGTATGTACATGCTTAAGCTGCGGCGGAAAAAGCCACTGCTTGCACCTACTGTACAGCTACTAAAGCAGATCCTTAGGAATGGGCTGCTTGGCTTTTTCTCTAATCCACAAGATAAAGAACAGTGCACAGCTTCCTGTCTGCAGTCTCTTTCTCTGGCTATTGTGAAGATGTTTGTGCTTATCCCAGATAAGCAAGCCACTTCATGGAAACCCGGGCATTGAGCACCCTTTGGACTGGCTTCTCCTTAATGGGAAAACGATCCCAAGGGGTTAATCGCTCAGACACACTTGTTAACTTCTCTCACCATAAGATGCTGGAAGAGCCAGGACCGCATGATATTCGTGGCATGCTTCGGCAGGACTCCTCGTTTGTTCTTTGACTTTTTATCTTCGCTGTCAAGGAGAGAGGTCAGGTCCAGGTTAACCTACAGGGCAGGGAAAGAGAAAGGGAAGCTTAAGCAACAATGCAGGTGAAAAAGGGGGGAAAAAGAAAAGGGAAAGAGGAGCCTGGGTTGCCATGGTGACACAGATCGCAACGTCGGTCCGATTTCACGGTGGCTCTGCGAGGCTGGAGAGGCTTGCGCTATTCAGAGAGGAGGAGAGCAAAACTAACTTAGGAGGAACACTTAGAAGCTGGGGAAGAAAGGAAGATCAGTAGGCTTTTCCGCTGTGCCAAAAGTTTGAGTTAAAAATAAAGAAATCTGCTTATGAATGAAGATGCAAGACTGGAAGAGCCTTGCAGGGTCAGGCCAGAAGTCCATCTAGCCCAGTACCCTGTTCTCATAGCAGCCAACCAGATGCCGATGGAAAGCCTGCAAGGAGTATTTTTCGCTCCATAAGATGCACCTGACCATAAGACGCACCTAGTTTTTAAAGCAGGAAAACAAGAAAAAAAAAATATGACTCAAATGTTGTACTAAACTATTTAAAACAGCAAAGCGGGCGGCTCCTGTCCACTTTGCTGCTTTAAAGCGAGCCACTGTATATAATGAAGAAAATGGAAAAAGGATAGACATTCCATTACAATGTAGCTGTTTTCAATATCACTGGGAAGTCAGTATTGGCAGCGGTCACATAAACTAAAATTTGAGCATTTTACTGTTATTAATCAAGAATGGTAATAGCCTTCCTGCTGCTTGCAAACCTTGCTGGGACTTCAGAAGAAAGCGGGGGCTGACGGCAGAGCAGCGTGGCTCCTCCCCCCACCCCCAAAGAGCAGCCCAGGAGCACAGGGCAACAGCGATTTGGCTCCAGGGACCACACATTCGCTCCATAAGATGCACAGACATTTCCCCTTACTTTTTAGGAGTGTGTCTTATGGAGTGAAAAATACGGTATATGAGTGCAAGAATGCTCTCTCTGCCTGGAGATTATTGATTTGTTTGTTTCCCCCCTTATTTTTATTATGTACTTTGTGTTTTTTATATTGTATTTTTGTGTTGTGAACCACCCTGAGATCTATGGATTGTGTTTAATAAATGATGATGATGATGATGATTCTAGCAACTGACATTCTGGGGCCTTCTGCTTCCAACAGTGGAGGCAGAACATGCTACTCATCAAATTATGACCACACACATAAATGGCATGGTTTCATCATACATTTTCATCTGCACAGTGGTTTGGACAGGGAGTGACTTATGATCTTTCTCCTCGGAAAGCACCCTTGCACCAAATTCATGCTGGAAAGGTTGTGGGAAAGCTAATACATGGAAGGAATGATTTGAGCAAAGCTCAGGAAATCTCCTCTCCAAATGACACTTTGGGAGTCGAGGCGCAGACTTGGGGAGAATCATAAAGGAGAAAGTAACTCCAAGTTTATCAGGTAGACCCCAAGCTCCACCCACAGCTTCTCCAGGTAGTGGAGGAAAGGCTCTGGTCTGAAACCTTGCAGAGCCACTGCCAGTCAAGTGTAGACTATACGGAGCTAGATGGAGCAATAGTTTAAGGCAGCTTCCTATGTTTGTGATTCAGGGACCTGCCACCCGCTTGAGAATAAGAAAGACACATGGTATATTAGGTTAATGGGCTAAAAAAGGCCACAACTTTATTGATTACAGCATGTGAGAGGTATTGGCTTAGGCATTGGATAAAACAACAGAGCGTGCCTGCACTCCCTCGGGGAGGGGTGAGTCTATCAAGGGTTAACCACCAGTGGGAGGAGCCTGTTGATGCAAATATAACTGAAAGCTTCCCCTGATGTCACCGGGGGTTGTGCCATGGCCCTAGCCACCAGCAAGGGCATCGGACAGGATCCACGACCGCCGAATTCCTTTACCGGAATACCCATAAAGAGGAGGGGTAGGCGATGGCCACACCCTGCCCTCCAATCCACAAACATATTCCAATGCCTAACCGCCAATACCAAACGTTGTGACGAGGTAGCGAAAAACCAAGTGGCCGGTGCCAATTTGCCCGTTGGATAAAAATTCCTACTAGGCCCCTTGGACAACCGAGGTGACCAACCACAGGTCCATAGCAATGTCAAGAACCAAGCAATGAACTAAAGGGAGGGTGGGTGGGTGATCCGATGAAAATCAGCAGCAGAATGAAGGGGAAGCACTGCTGCGGCCGCATTTGGGCAGCTAAACCCCACCCCCGAGCCTCAACCTGATTGGTTGGCTGCCCGGGGGCGTGGCACAGCAGCTGGGATAGCTGGGCAGGGGCCGAAACGCCCCCTGCCAACGCGGGAAACGACTCCCGCTCACAACCCCTCCCCTCTGTAAGGAGGAGAGGCTTTCTAAGAAATGATGTTTGCATCCTACCTCTGCTGCCACCTACCTGCAGCCTTAGCTGAAAATGCAATCTGGGGGAATGCTGAACTCTTCTGCATCTGCTCTTGCCATATAATACAGTGGTACCTCGCAAGACGAATGCCTCGCAAGACAGAAAACTCGCAAGACGAAAGGGTTTTTGGTTTTTTGAGTTGCTTCGCAAGACGATTTTTCCTACGGGCTTGCTTCGCAAGACAGAAACGTCTTGCAAGTTTGTTTCCTTTTTCTTAAAACCGTTAATACAGTTGTGACTTGACTTCGAGGAGCAACTCATAGCACGCGGTGTGGTAGCCTTTTTTGAGGTTTTTGAAGACTTTGGTGATTTTTGAAGCTTTTCCAAAACTTTTCCGAAACCGTGCTTCGCAAGACGAAAAAATCGCAAGACGAAAAAACTCGCGGAACGAATTAATTTTGTCTTGCGAGGCACCACTGTAGTGCAGAATGGCCCTAATTCTTCAGGCCAGAGGTTGCTTCTATCTTTTAATAAGCAAATGACCACTGTTTTAGTCTTGGGGAGGGGGAAGCTGGGAAACATCCCTTGACAACAGCTGACCAGCAACTCAAGTGCAGACAACAGTGCATGTGTATTCCAGTTCACACAATGCAAATTTGGGTACACCCATGGAGAGAGGCGAAGGCCTTTCATCTAGGGCTGGATCAAGAGGTTTAGAGGCCCCAAGTACTGAAACAATGGCCCGCCGTATGAAATTCAACATTTGAAAAAAATACTAAACCAGAAAATAAAATTTGATTTTTCAAAGTGACACAAAACTTACATGTACGCTGAAATGAAATAGCGCCCCCCCTTGAGTTTCTGAATGCAAAATCCTTTCAAAGAGAAATTTCTCATATTTTTTTGGGTGCCCCTGCTTTGCTGATGTCTGAAGTTAATATGGCACTGCTTTGGCCCCTTTGATTTCCGTGTAAGTCACTTCCCAGTAAATAGCCTTAAAATACCCTTCAATCTATTAATCAGTGTTAAAATGTAAAATTCTCATTAGGATTCTTCTTAGCAGAAGCAGGTTATTTTATTTTTTAAAGGCTGGGAAAATAGAAGAGGAAATGCAAAGATCTTGGGAAGCAGGGGGAGAGAAGTTTTTAATGAGGTTGCAGGAAACTGGAATCTCAACGTCAAGTTAAAAAACACACACACACAGACACAGACACTTTTTTTTTAAGGTTCTTCATAAAAACATTTCTCCTGCATGAATTAAACATCAGGATGGCAGCCCTGTGTCAGGTATAAATGATTCCCCCAGGTACCGCTTGGGATGTATTGCAAGGTCTGGGCTGAATAAATTACCCAGGCAATACAGAAATAACATTAGGAGTGCTTGTCCAGGGCTCCACCAGTGCCACAATATTCCCAGCATACTTGTATTCAACAGATCTGATCAATTTCACTCTAAGATCTGAGCTAGCAACAGCTTTTACACATTAAATAGAATTGAGATTCAGGTTTTGTTTTCCACTCCTCATCCCCGAGCTGAGAGAAAGACGAGGAATTGGGGGATATGACAGGCCTGCCAATGCCTTTTCCAATAGGTTTTTATATTATTATTAAGCTTTAAGTAAAAAGGGGAAAAAAGGAAAGGAAGAAAAGCTCTAATGTAGAGAGAGGACCAGAGAGATTTTAAAGGAGCTCAGAGACTGATCGGGTGCAGTTGTGGTCCTGCCAGTGCTGACTCAGTAGGAAATGTCAGTACATCAATGCCTACGCTTTTTCATTATTATTATTATTTTATAAAAAAAAGATCTGAGCTTATATAGCAAGCACTGTATGATTTGCTTCTCATTAATACAGAACAGGGCGGGGCAGAATAAGTGGGACACATTTCAAGAAGTAGGTAAGGATTTTCTGCCCGCAAAACTCTGATGGAGAAACTAACTGGGAATGCTATTTCCTTCTACAATAAAATCTCCATTATTCGTATCTCTGTTCTCTGAATTTTCCAATTAGCGGAGTGATTTAAGTGCCTCCCAGGATGGAGATAGATGGTAGTGTTTTATTTTTTTGGGGGGGACCCACTGAAAATTGTATTTAGGGGCATGGCTAGATTCTTAAAGTATTTAGGGAACAGGTGCACAAAAAATTGCATAACATTTGCACATACAAATTAGGAACGAACAATTTCCTTCCAGTCTCTCATTTCTTTCAAACTTAGGGTTGGTTTGCCACATTTTTGCACATTTAAAAAACCCCTAGTAAAAATTGATCAGCATTTTATCACATGATTCTCTAACAGATTCATGTTTGCATGCAATCTTGCTTAACATACACATGTCTAGAAAGAAATTTCACCCAGTACGATGCATTTTTGTATGTTATTTTCACCAATATATGCATTTTTACACCCACTTTCCTGTCACATATGCATTTTTGTTCACATTTCTTCGGTTGGTGGAATTTATTGCAAAATTCGGAGAAATGTGAATTTCACAGAACATTTGCATTTTGGCTTCTGTATTGTTTTAGGATGGGTAAAATAGGTAAATGTGCATTAGAATGTGAAACAAACTGAATCCCTCCCCCATTCCCAATGTGAATGGATCTGTATTGATGCCACTGGGAAATTAAAGTTGCGCATGGGTGAGATCTCACCACCATTGCACTTTGCAGTGTCCAACAGATATCTTATAAATAAAGTTGTTGTTTTTTATAAAGTAAGTTAATTTTAAAACAGGGGGTTAAGAAGCAGGAGAACTGGGGCCAACTGCAAAAGATCCTGGGGCTGAGGCTTCCCACCAACATCTCCCATGGCGGTATTAGAGAAAAGGCTTGGCCAGTGGTTTGTACACTTCTCCCATCATCACCTTGGGGTGGAACTACAGGTCATGTTAAAGCACAGCGTTCTTGCTTCCCTTCCATAATGGGTAGTTACAAATTATGCTTTGAAGGCATATGAGGCTACCACCTTACTAAAGCTATGCAGACCTGGGCCTAGCCAAGGTAGGTTAAAAAAGTAAAGGGCCCCTGGAGGATTAAAGGTAAGGTAAAGGGACCCCTGACCATTAGGTCCAGTCGTGATTGACTCTGGGGTTGCGGCGCTCATCTCGCTTTATTGGCCGAGGGAGCTGGTGTACAGCTTCCGGGTCATGTGGCCAGCATGACTAAGCTGCTTCTGGCGAACCAGAGCAGAACACGGAAATGCCATTTACCTTCCCGCGGGAGCGGTACCTATTTATCTACTTGCACTTTGACGTGCTTTCGAACGGCTAGGTTGGCAGGAGCAGGGACCGAGCAACGAGAGCTCACCCCGTTGCGGGGATTCGAACTGCCGACCTTCTGATCGGCAAGTCCTAGGCTCTGTGGTTTAACCCACAGCGCCACATGCGTCCCTTCCCTGGAGGGTTAAGTCCAGTGAAAGGCGACAATGGGGTTGCAGCGCTCATCTCGCTTTCAGGCCGAGGGAGCCAGCGTTTGTCCACAGACAGCTTTCTGGGTCATGTGGCCTGCATGACTAAACCTCCTCTGGCGCAACGGAACACCGTGATGGAAACCAGAGCGCATGGAAACACCGTTTACCTTCCCGCCATGGTGGCACCTATTTATCTACTTGCACTGGCCTGCTTTCGAACCTCTAGGCTGACAGGAGCTGGGACAGAGCAACGGGAGCTCATCCCGTCACAAGGATTCGAACCGCCAACCTTCCAACCTTCCAATTGGCAAACCCAAAGTGGTTTAGACCACAGCGCCACCTGCGTCCCTATTCAAGGATCCACATTCCGAAACAGCATTTTCTACATATATTCATTGGAAGAAGAACCCCTGCCAGGAGAGGCAGCCATGTTTTGAATGTGGCAGCTTAATACCACCCCTAATGGATCTTACGCCACATTCTCCTCTTTGAGAGGATAGATCCAGATCTGTGAAGTCTTAGACTGACTTCCATTTTGAATGCTTCAAAACAAACCAGAACCTAAGTGATCTCCTCACCCTCTTTGGTTCCCCAGGTCTCTTAGGCGGTCGGTCTTACCTGCGCGTTCTGGATCTGAATGGCTCCCTGTGGGATTGCTTGGGTTACCACCTGGCCCTGAGACGTTACCATAGTTACAGGCTGGTAAAGGGCTCCACCTGGCAAAGAGACAGGATTTCACAGCAGAATTTTAGGAAGACAGCTGAAATCTATCGGCAGAACAGAAAAAAGAAGAAGTTTCAACCAGCCTCATGCATTTGAATCAAAAGTTCAGTGGGGGAAACCTGTATCGGAAGGGATCCCCACAGCCATCTTCACCTGAAAGATCCCATAGGCTGTCCAGTAGTCTTAGAAATCAGGACCAGCCAAAACATAATGGATTATTTGGATTTAGTATATTTCCAGAGAGAAGAGACATGAGAAAAATAAACAGAATCATGCCCACCCCGCTAAAGCCACAAGACTTTTCTTGCAGGATCCCCCATAAGAAGGCATTTGGAGGGTAAAGACAAATGTCACAGGCAACATTTTTTTTTGTTTGGTCTTTTTAGCAAACCAGTAAGAATTTGCACCTCAGTGGACACAGAAGGATTTAGGATTTAGCCTTGATGGAGAAATTGACTGAACAAATACAGGCATTTGATGGACAAACACAATCAGACTCATAATATTGATTGACAGATGCTTTACACTTATTTCTTATATGAACAATACTTTGGTATAGCATTTCTCAAATCAGCCTGTTTGTTGTTGTTTTGTTCATTCTATGACAATCTGTCTTAATAGATGGCAGTGCTCAGTTTAGCTTATTGCATTTTCTGGTCTTCTTTGGAACTAAGAAACTTTATTTTGTCTGATTCACTTATGTTCTTTCTTAGAATTTTTTTTAAAAAAAGACAGTTTAAGGATGAAGACAGACATAAAGGCTTTAAGGTAGGAACGGGAAACCAGAGACCCTTCATATGGTATTGATCCACAGCTTGCATCATGATCAATGGTTAGGGATGATGTGTACTGTAGTTGAACAACATCTCGAGGGCCACAGGTTTCCTGGCTCAGGTGAAGACCGCAGACTAAGCCAGTGTGGTGTAATGGTAAGCTTCTTGGACTAGGGCCTGGGAGACCAGGGTTGAAATCCCTACTTAGCCATGAAACTCATTGGGTGACCTTAGGTCAGTCGTCGTGTCTTAGCCTAACCTACCTCACATAATATACAAATACAAATTAATCAATCATAATAAAAAAATTCAGGGAGGTGAATGTGTCTCTACCACCATCATTCTGCCCGGAAGCTGAGGTCCAGCGCCGAGGGCCTTCTCGGTAGTGGCACCTGCCCTGTGGAACACCCTCCCACCAGATGTCAAAGAGAAAAACAACTACCAGACTTTTAGAAGACATCTGAAGGCAGCCCTGTTTAGGGAAGCTTTTAATGTTGAATAGATTATTGTATTTTAATATTCTGTTGGAAGCTGCCCAGAGTGGCTGGGGAAACCCAGCTAGATGGGCAGGGTATAAATAAAAAAATATTATTATTAAATAATTTCCAGGACATTTAAACCGATTCATCTGAATTTGGCTTCATTTTGATAGGAACGGAGAAGAAAGTGACAACACCTTTAGACGGGGAAGGGAGACTCTGCAAAACGCTAGAGTCCATGCTCTGGTACAAAGGAAGATGTCATGTCAAGTGAGACCATCAGTGCGTCTCGCTCAATATCGTCTATCTTGACTTGCAGAAGCTCTCCAGGATTTCAGGCAGGGGTCTCAACCATCCCTACCTGGAGATGCCAGGGATTGAACCGTAGAGCTTCTGCATGCAAAGGAGATGCTCCTTTGGTGGGATGGAATGAGATGGGACTGGGAAGAATAATCTGCTGCAGATACAGGAATGCTGTGGCATTTCAGCAGGAAGTGTGTGTGTGTGTGTGTGTGTGTGTGTCTGTGTGTAAATCTGATTTGGTCTCAATTACAAAGCAAAAGGCCTGATCCCGATCCACCATTTTCATGCTGGGAAGGAGTATAGCAAGAATCGAAAGTGAGGCCCCTGTGTCACTTTCCTGACAAGAGAATGCTGCTTGAATAACAATTGCTCACGAGCTCCTAGCCCTATTCAGATGGCAATTCAGGTAAAGTCAATGTGTGGACAAGGGAGGGGGAAGCACAAACAGAGCCTGCACAGGGTCTATCCATGTGCAAACTGGATTCTCTCTGCAATCTGTACTCTCTCTTATTGCAGGGAAATAGCACACGGAGGGGCCAGTGGGAACGATCCCATCCCACACGTTGACTTGATTTGAATCAGAGCCGTTTCCAGGCCCTGGAATGCTGCCTGATACCTATCAGGCCATAGGGGCAGGGCAACACTTCTTAACTGGTTTCCAAATTCTGGGGTCACTGTGGGTTACCGGGAGGGAGAGGGGCAAGGCGGCAGGGAGGCCGGTGTGGTGTGGGCGCAGTGGCAGAGCCAAACCACCATTCCTGCCACTGCACCTCCACTGCACCAACCTCCTAAACCCTCCCTTGGTAACCGGCAATGATTCTGGGACTGGGAATCCAGGTAAGCCATGCTGCCGTACCATGAGGACTACAGCAGCAATCCCGGGAAGCCACAATTTTAAACTTCCCACAGTCCCACAAAGTACCTTAGTGTTGCTTTAGGGTGCTGTGGAAAAAAAATAAATAGTGAGGTGGGAGGAGAGGGGGAAGAGCAGGCGCGGCTCCACAAGGATGCCAGCCACTGACAGTGGGCAGGGTCTGGTTTGCCACCGGAAGACATTCTACCTGTTTGCTCACTTCACTCATCATAACACTTGGGTGCACAAGGACTTCAGGGGTTTCATAGAGGCATGGTTCTAACAGACGTGCCGACAGCCTCAAGAAATGGTGGAAGGAGACCAGATGGGACCATTTTCTGGGAATCTTTACTAGGACTGTTGGTCCATCCAACTCACTACTGTCTACACTGACTGGCAGTAGACCTCTAGTGTTTTGGGCAGGGAGTACCTCTCCACCCTGTATGGAAAAGCCAGGCATTGAACCTGGGATGTTCTGCATGCAAAGCAGATGCTCTACCACTGAGCTGTGGCCCTCCACTGACAGAAAGTAGTAGTAGTAGTAGTAACAATAATAATAATTTATTTATACGCTGCCCATCTGGCTGGGTTTCCCCACTCACTCTGGGCGGCTCCCAATAGAATATTAAAAACACAATAAAACATCAAATATTAAAAACTTCCCTAAACAGGGCTGCCTTCAGATGTCTTCTAAAAGTCAGATAGTTGTTTATTTCCTTGACATCTGATGGGAGGGTGTTCCACAGGGTGGGCACCATTACTGAGGAGGCCCTCTGCCTGGTTCCCTGTAACCTCACTTCCCACAGTGAGGGAACCACCAAAAGGCCCTCGGAGCTGGACCTCAGTGTCCGGGCTGAACGATGGGGGTGGAGATGCTCCTTCAGGTAAATGGGCCGAGGCTGTTTAGGGCTTCAAAACCCCTTGAAATATTACAAAAAAACCCCAACAATGCACATGTTGAGTGATTTGTGTGTTAGAAGTTCTGTATTTATGTGAGAGAAATATCAGAGTGGGTCTGCGGGCGAATGGTGGTGGCTTTTAAGAGGGGAATGTAGAGTGCAATGAGAGGTGTTTTTTTTTACGCAGCCAGTTTCCCCAGGTTTTCCTCACAATTATGCACAATTCAAAGCTAACTATCTGAGGGAGTTTAAAAATACCAAGCATGCAAAAGACGCGACTAACATGGTCAGACGTACGCTCCACGCCTCCCACCTGACACAACTTGTGAGTTGACTGTTGTCATGGAGATGTTCCCCTGCTGCAGTGCTGATGCGGGCACCACGATTCCTTGGGGGTTGCCGGATACTGCAGTCATTGAGTTAGGAGAATTCTGCAGCATATCCTAGAGACAGACAGAGAGATGGAAAGAGAGGAGCTTAAAACACACGGTGCCCATCACAGGCCTCTGCTGCACTTCAACTCTGAAGACATCACAGAACTCTGCGGATGAGAATGAAGAAGACGTCCGTCTCACAAACAGCTGCATTATAGATGTCATGTATAATCTGGGTGCAGCCTGGTTGGCGTTGACCGTGACAGGGTCTTCTTGGTGGTGACTCCTCATTGGTAGAATGCTCTCCCTGCTAGGTGTTTCTATCTACCCTGTTTTTAAATTTCAGGGGGATTTTAAAAAAAACATTCCTATTCACCCAGGCATTTGATGGCTGAAATATACTGTTTCTGGCAACCTTGAAGTCATTAGCTGTGAGGGTATATGATTTAAGTTTAAACGTTTTGAAATGTTATTAGTGTTTTTAGATGTTCTTAAATGATTTAAACTGCATTGTTTTGCTATTGTGATGTTTGCCCCTGTGTTACTGTGGGAGAAAATGCAAGCTAGAAATGTAGGAAATATTATTTATTTACTTATCTTTGTTTGCCACTTACTACAAGAAAAAAAAAAAGTCTCAAAGTGACTTACAATTTTTTAAAAGTACAAATACCAAATTAAAATACAGTGGTACCTCGGGTTAAGTACTTAATTCATTCTGGAGGTCTGTTCTTAACCTGAAACTGTTCTTAACCTGAAGCACCACTTTAACTAATGGAGCCTCCAGCTGCCGCCGCGCTGCCGGAGCACGATTCCTGTTCTCATCCTGAAGCAAAGTTCTTAACCTGAAGCACTATTTCTGGGTTAGCGGAGTCTGTAACCTGAAGCGTATGTAACCTGAAGCGTATGTAACCCGAGGTACCACTGTACATCAAAAGATTAAAAAAAACCTAAAAGTGCTCATTGTGCCATAACATACAAAAGATGCACCCAATGAAAAGATGAACACCAATTGTGAGCAAAATGTGTGGGTAAATAAAAATGTTTTCACCTGGCACCTAAACATTGACAATGCCAGGCACATCTCTCTGGGGAAAGCATTCCACAGGCAAGGAGCCACCACTAAGAAGGCCCAGCCATGCACTGACACCCTCTACAACCCCCCTGGAGGGGACACACAAATAAGAGCCTCAGGTGATGAACACATTGTCCCGGTAGGTTCATATAGGGACAGTCCAAAACATCTGGAGAGTGCCAGCTTGGAGAAGGACTGCAGGAAGGTCTGTAATGGTTCCAGAAATCTGTAGAAATGTCCCCTGTTGATGGGGCACAGTGATGGTTTGCATGCACATAACTCTGTGGCAGAACACATGCTTTGCTTGCATAAGGTCCCAGGTTCAACCCTCATCATCTCCAGTATAAAAAAAAGCATTTCAGAACATAGCCATCCCAGTTAGTCAAATCTCTGCCCTAGCAACTGGGGGTAACCAATGGGGTGTTGTGGCCATCCAAATGGTCCCACCCCACCACAGGGAGACAGTTTATGGTGATCTCACCGCAACACATGCCCTCCATGATGGAGGACACGGTTTGCCCCATCATGGGTCATAACTCTCTCCTTTCCCCCTTTGCTGCCCCCTTTTACTTCACCGCGAATTTCTTCCTTGGGCAATCATCTCCTTTTGCCTCATGCTTGCAGGGCCACCTGCACAAATTTGCCTTATTTCCATTTTTATCCCTCTGAATCAAGCTGCTCCAGCAGCAAACTCATGGAAAATAAAAACCTATTGAATGAATGTGTTGCAACACATTTGTCCTTCCATTTACTGAAACAGTAAATCCGTTGTGTTTGGCGGGCCAAGCATCTCTTGTAGTTTTAAGAGCTTAGTTAAAGATGCTAGCGGTGAACAAGGTCAAATGATAATCACGAATCCAGATGCTACATTTACTATTTTGAGAGAGGAGTTAAGAAAGAGAGAGTAGAGAAAAGGAATCTACAGTACAGGAGGCACATTCCGTTTAATTCCTTGAACCTAACTCCTTTTCACGCCATTAGGGGTTCCTAATTTGTGGGGAGTGAAGATTCTAATCTGAATTAGCAACCCTGAGTCACTGAACTATGAAAAATGGTAGCTATTCCAGATTAATTAATAAGGGATAAAATATTACTGCCTTATCTACATTCCCCTAAATAGTACTTGTCCTCCATTAGGTCTTGCTGACTCCCACACTAGTTTTAAGCTGATGCAAGTCTCCAAGGTCAGGCCTGGAAACTTAAACGGAGGGCTTGCGTTTTATTTTATCACTTTCTTCCTCCAAGGAGCTCTTCCTCTCCCACAATTTATCTTCACAACAATCCTGTGAGGGAGCTTAGGCTGACAGAAGGCGACTGACCCAAAGTCATTCAGCGAACTTCACGTCTTAGCAGAGATTTGAATCTGGATTTTCCAGATTCGTAGTCCAACATACTGTACTGGCTCTCACATTCTGCATCGAGGCAACCCAAATTCTGTATATAGGGTCACCTGAATATATTTACATAGTGTACTTCGTTCTGCTTTTGCAAGCAATAGAAAGGAGCTATGAAGAATACCCACATTTTGGCCCTAATGGTCAGAAGATTCATTCTGGCTTTTGAAATTTAATCAGGTATTGCCTATACAACGTTTTCAAGTCTATTTCTGCAGTTTTAAGGTCTAGCGACTCTTCTTTCTTTCTTTCTTTCTTTCTTTCTTTCTTTCTTTCTTTCTTTCTTTCTTAACAGCACTGGTATTTTCCTGAGGCTGAACAATGTGCAACAGCACCAATTTCTCTGCTTGTATGGTGCGACCATGGAAAGCTCATGACCAATTGCAGACTGGGGTTTATTACCTGCTGACTAAGCCATATGGATTTCCTTGCTGAGATCTTCAGCTGAAGCCCTGCTCTGGGTGTCATTGCCTTGAGAATTGAGATGCAGTGAGGCCAGTGGCTCCTGGGGACAGGGCCTTCTCTGTGGTGGCACCCGGAGTTTAGAACATGCTTTTTTGGCCCCTACAGTGTTACCTTCAAGGCACTGATTAAAGTCTTCCTCCTTTATTTGCCCAAGCTTCTGGGAGTGTTTTCTATGCATAACTTATCAGTTGTGGCTTATTTTGCAACGAATCACTTTTGTTTTTATTGCCAGCAGCTGCAAGTTTAATAGTTTTATGAAAAATCAGCATTAAAACCATCTAATCCCTCCCACCCTTTTTCCTGACTCAGTCACCATTCTCCCTTTCCTGTCCTTGCTCCCCCCCTCTGCGTATCACAGTATTTTATACAGACCAACAAAAATAACAGGAGTACAGCTAGGGCTGGACATCTGGGCCAAAGTCTGCACCTCAGTGTCAATTCAGGGGTAACATATGACACAGGCAATGTCAAACAGGTCCAACATCAGAAATTAAGGTTGGCAGGTGAACGCTGGGCGACCCATCAAAGCTGACGCTGGTTGTCGCTAGAGGTGGACGACTCTGTCAAGTTCATTTTCTCTTTCGTTTTTCATTTTTCCAGGCTTAAATCCAAGTCTCTACATTTCAGCCATTTCAGCAATTTGAGTTTCTTTTTTAATCCTCATGGAAATTTGACAGCATGTCACTGTGAATTTCTCCCAATAAACACATTTTTAATGCAGTTTTGAGCAATGTATACATTTCTGCAAGCAATTTTCCCAATAGAAAGCATTTTTGTATGTTATTTTCATGAAGGGATGCATTTTAAAATTTGTCTGCAACAAAATACACTTTCCCACAAGGAAATGTGTTTACTATCAGGGCAGCAGAAGCAAACACCATTTTATTCCAGTAATCATAATGCTTTAAGTGAGTTTTTAAAACATGAAAACGCTCATTCTCCGACAGGCTAATAACCAAAGTACAGCCAAGTATCTCATGTTACCCTCAGGCAACAGAACCTCCCTCTCACCCCCTAAATTTGTTTTTTTTAGACATTATAATCACCCAGCACATATAGACCCATCACCAAGATACAATAAACAAAGAAAGACATAAAAAAGAAAAAGTTAACATATAATACAAAGAACATAACCATATTTTCTTCACTTTTTGCACTTCCTCACATCCCTCGTTCCTGCGTTCCTAGTTTATAAAATTTTAAACAGCAAATTATCACCTTGTTTCAGTTCTTATTTTATATTCTTCCAATATTCTGTCTCTAATTTTGAATACTTTTATCAAAAACTTAAATACTTAATTTAGACATAACATTACTCCAAAATTTATCTTCTTCTCTAGTCTCACCTATTCTCATATTCCTTTCCTCACCCCCTAAATTTGTTTTGGGGGTTCCTCCAATCCTCTGGATAAGATGTGGGGAGGGCTCAGGGCGCATGTGGGAGGGGGGGGTTCTGTTGTGTAAACATAAATTCTTGTGTGTGACGGGCAGGAGGGGAGGTCCGCTGTGCAAGTGGAAATTCTGGCACTAACACTAGCCACTAAACTTGACGGCTCTAAAGAGGAATAGATAAATTCACGGAGGGAATCTTCCGCCATCCTTCACCTGCACAGTTGGATGCAGAAATGCTTCCGAAAATCAGTTGCTGGCAGCCATAGGAGGGGAAAGGGCTCTTGTGAGTTTTGCATGGGCATCTGTGAGACCAGGATACTGGACTAGCTGGGTCGTTGGCCTGATCCAGTAGGCTCTTAGGTTTACATAATGGGTGGAGAACTTATTTGTTGTGGCTTTGTGGCTCTAACGCAGGGGTCAGCAAACTTTTTCAGCATGGGGCCGGTCCACTGTCCCTCAGACCTTGTGAGGGGCCGGACTGTATTTTGAAAATAAAATAAAAATGAACAAATTCCTATGCTCCACAAATAACCCAGAGATGCATTTTAAATAAAAGCACACTTTCTACTCATGTAAAAACACGCTGATTCACGGACCATCCACTGGCCGGATTTAGATGGCGATTGGGCTGGATCCGGCCCCAGGGCCTTAGTTGCCTACCCATGCTCTAACGTATCAGGAATGCAGACAGAGTTTTAAATAATGAAAGAGAAATGTTAATTGTATGCCTCACAACTGATGTAGTA